TGCCTCATCTCAGCCATGGTCCCCAAGTCCATTGCCAACTCTCTGAGGCAAAGCAGCTCCATCTTGTTCCCATGCTGTGTCCTCCAGGTCTTCATGATGGTTTTTACAACAACCACAGAGTTGCACCTGCTCACGGTGATGAGCCTTGACCGCTATGCAGCCATCTGCCACCCCTGCACTATGACGTCATCATGAGCAGGGACAGGTGTGTGCAGCTGACAGCTGTGTCCTGGCTGGGTGGGGGGTCTCCATGCTGTGATACACACAGCTGGAACCTTCTCCTTGTCCTATGTGGGTCCAACGTGGTCCACCAGTTCTTCTGTGACATCCCCCAGTTAATGGCTATTTCCTGCTCAGGAAATTTAATCAATGAACTTGTCCCCATTCTCACTACTTCGCTGTTGAGTATCTGCTGTTTTATTTTCATCATCATTTCCTATGTCCACATCTTCTCTGCTGTCAGGAAGATTGCATCCAAGGTCTACTCCACGTGCCTTCCCCACCTGCTGGTTGTGGTGCTGTTTTTCTCCACTGGATGCTTTGCTTATCTGAAGCCAACTACAGGAACCCCGTCCATGTCTGACCTGGTCATTTCTATGTTCTACACGGTGGTGACCCCCACCTTTACTCCCATCATATACAGTCTGAGGAGTCTGCTGTGGGGAGACTAATGAAGGGGAGACTCACCAAAATATAATAGGGAAGATGAGTTCATTACTCTTTACAAGACAATTATTTTGAATTTTCACATTATACTACTCTATATTCTTATAATTACAATATATATATTAATAATGTAATAATAAATATTAAATAAAATGAATAATAATATATATATTAAGATAACTTCATATACCCTTAGTTTTAGTTGTTGCTCTTTTTACCTCTTAGGTGCCATGTGATATTCCGTGTATACTGGAGTAACTGAACTTCCAGCCACTCTTTGCTGTCCTCCATTTCTGTAGCTCCCGGCCAAGAGAGGAGATGGTTGGGTTTCATCGCAGTTGTCAGCAGTTGTCAGCAGCAGTTTCATCTATTGTCATCTTAGTTGTCCCTGGGGCAGCATCTCTAGTCTCTAAGGAGGCTTCCCCTCTAATGTCACTGACCCTCGCGGTCACATGTGGGATCAGGGGTCATGGTAGGACAGAGGCCCCTGTACTTAGTGAGTGAAGCCTTCACAGCATAAACAAGGTCTTAGGGTCCAAGTTAGAATCTGAGCAGTTGCGATCCACTGTAGAGAAGGACCCACACACGTGATGTGGTGGAGACCCTCTGGAAGCTCCGGTGTGGGTGCCGCCACATTTACCATAAACACACTCAGCGCTTGGTGGTCAGCAGAAATAAGAAAGTTAAGTTCCTGTGCAGTATAATTACTAAAATATTACAAAAATCATTGGGTGGGAATTTTTGAGAAACAATCTGCTCAAAACAAAACGGTAGCTAGTAGTCCACCTCGTATCTAATATTCCTAGAAATGTGTTAGGGATGCCATCCATGACCTCACACCACACTTCACAGGAGTGTTGTCCCCATTTATTTCATCACCTAGAGTGGGCGGGTGGGAATGGCAGGACAATGCCCTGGCCGGGCAGGTCATCAACAGGAATCTCACAGAGTGTCTGCATTTTTATGAATTCGTTGAATTGAAAAAAGCCGTCAGATTTACGTGCAAAAAGTAACACTATCATTTGGTGTTTTCATAGACATGCAAAGGATTTGAAGAAGATCTCATTTGGGAAGTGAAGTGCCCCGTGGGTGTGGCTGCTGTCTGGCCTCAGCTCCTCTCGGCTGACTGCATCATCCTTTGCTTTCCCATCTGTGATGTTCCATATTTGAAAATTTCACACCAAATATTTCATGATGAAATGCAGTTCCAATTGGATATCAGACATTCAGTCACTCTCAAACACTCACCTGGGAGAGGCTGAGTCAGGTTGACCTTGTGCAGCCCGGGGGGGAGTTCCAGGTGGAACCAGGTAATTCTGGAGACCAGCCAGGGGCAGTAGAAGAGGTGGCAGAATCCTGACCTTTGAACTTCTGGGCTGACAATGGCCTACTGCTCTTTTAAGTGATTGGCCTTTTTATTTTTAGTGCCTATAAGTGACTCTGTTAATATTAATTAATGTTGCTGTTACACTGGTCAATAAACGTTATGGAATATAATGAGAATCCAGTGTGTGCATTGAACAAGAAACTGGATCAGACAATTCTAAACACATACTCTTCACTGCCAACATTTTTGCCAACTTTGTACAACGTAATTAGATATATAAGTTAATAAAACATTAACTGCTCTAAGTTGTATGAATTCAAACATTTAATCACAATTAAAACCGTTGATTTCTGTTTTTTTTTTCTTAATTGGCGTTACTAAATGATTTATCTCACTATTTCTTTTTATCATGGTAACTTGCTGCTAGCACAGTTGTGGGTATTAAATAACATTTTTATAAATTCTCAATGTGCCAGAAGTCGTACATTCCAACTGTTGATCTAGAAGGTCAAGAAATATATTACGAACTTAAATTCACTAGAAAGTATCAAAAGCCAAAAAGGAAGGAAGATAATTATTGACCACAAGAAGATGGACCGCGGGAAGCAGAACTCACCTCCTGTTTTCTCGCGCGCAGGGGCGCGGGTCACTGTGGAGACCCGCTCCGTGGCCCTGGCAGCGCCCGCCACCCGCCCACCAGCTCCGCCCCGCCGGCCCCACCGCTGCCCGAAAGGGGGGTTCCCGGCCCTGCCCCTGGAGGGCCGCCCCTGAGCCCGAGCCGAGCCACTTCCAGGGCTCCCGGCCCTTCCTGGCCCGCGGGAGGGGCAGCTCCGCGGCGGGCAGCGTCCTGGGCTGACCCTGCTGCACCGCGGTTTAGGAAAGGCCCGCACCCCGCGCTCCTCTGCGCGCGCCCCACTTCCCGGACCTTGCTCGCCCGCCCAGGGGCTCAGGCCCCAGAGCCGCCCAGCCGTGCGTCCAGCAGGTGTGGCGCCCCAGCCGGCGTGGACCCGCCATCCCTGGGCGCTGGGCCTGCCCGCGCTCTCGGCCCTTCCAGGGCCCCTAGGGCCCCCATCCCGCCCTCTCGGGGAGCTGACGGCCAGGCAGGAGCCCAGAGGAGGGAGGATGCGCACCAGGTTGCCGACACCCCCGCCATCTGGGTTCCGTGTGGCGCAGGAGCCCGGGGCCACACTGGAGGCAGGGGAGGAGCCTCAGGCCGCCGCACCCGCCAGGCCGGGTACCCAGCGGGAGACGGGTCCGCGTAGACGCCGCCTCCCCGGGTCAGGGCCCGCGCTAGGTTGGGGGCGCAGCGACCCCCGTCCCGTCAGTGAGGGGCGCGGTGGACGCGAGGGATCCCCCGGGACGGGGAGGTGACTACGGTCTTGGGGGGACGGAGTGACCGCGGCCGGGGAGCTCGGCGCTGACCGCAAGGCGGGAGCCGAGCCCGGGCAGCAGCGGGGGCTCCCCGGGACCGTCCCCCAGGGGCCCGCGGGCGGCCGGGCGCGCAGGGCTTGCTCCCCCGCCCCGCTCCCCTCGCCTGGTAAGGCGGCCTTGCCCGTCCCCTGCGCGGGTGGGGTCCGGGGGCTGGGGGGGCGCTGCCGCCCACCAGGCCCGGGTCCGGGCTGGGGACTCCGCGCCCTGCTGGAGCCCCCATGGGACCCGGGACAGCAGCTCGAGCCGGGGACGGAGCAGGTTGGTCTTTCAGGCGCGCCCGGAGCCCTCCTGGTGTCTATGGGCGCCCCTGGGGTCCCCAGGGTCTCCTCCAATCCTGGGGCACAGCTACCCCGGCCGCGCGGAGGGAGCGCAGGGGAGGCGCGCTGGGGACAGCGGAGCGCGGAGCCCCCCCTTTCCAAACCGCCCCTGTGAGGCCCGGGGCTCGTTAGGCGAACTGGGCGCCTCCTCAGCGCCCGCGGCGCGCCCGGGGTCTTCCTGGGCTCCTCCGGGCGACTGGGGGCACCCGTGACGGAGGTGGGGGGGCTGTGGGACTGAGACCCATCGTGGGGCCACGCTCAACTGCGAAACTATGGCCGCGCCCCGCAGGGGAGCCCCAGAGCAGGGCGCGCTGGGGAGGGGGTGATGGGGCGGGCGGGGGTGCGCGCTCGTTGCTCACCCCGCCAGGGCGCCCGGGTGAGGAGCCGCGGAGGAGGCGCTGGCGCGCGCTGCAGACACCAAAGGGGTCCCTCGGCTCCCTGGCAGCCTCTGTCTGTCCCCTGTGGGGACGGTCCCGCCAGGAGCTGGTGGGGAGGGGGGCGGTGAGGGGAACCAGTTAGCAGAAGGGGGTGTGTCCGGTGAGGACCCAACGTGAGGGGTGAACGGGACGCCCCAGAGACTCGTGTCCTCCGCCCGCCGCTTCAGTTCCCAGGCCCAGGCCCCCGCTCCGAGGGGCTCTGGCGCTTCCCGCGCACCACCCCCCCGCGCGCGGGTCACGCGCCCGGAGGACTGGACGCAGGCGGGGTGGGCGCGGCGGGGCCCCTCCGCAGAAGGGGTGGGGGGCTGCAGGGAAAATCAGGAGAAGCAGCGCCAAGGCGGGCGTTAAGGGACGCGCCCCAGAGTCCCCAAGTCCGGCTCCGAGGCGGGGAGCGCCGAGGGCGCGCGGGCCGAGGCTCAGGCGGGCGCGGAGTGGGTCGGCCAGGCGCAGACCCCAGGGGCAGCCGACGCTCCGGCCCCGCCGCCCCGCAGCGGCGCCTCAGCCCATCCGCCCGCTCCGCCCCTCGCTGTCCTGGGGAGTCTCCCCACCGCCACCCCCACCCTCGCCGCTGGCTGCACCCCGGCTCTTGTGCGCATGAATAAATAAATAAATGTCTTTTTCCAAAAACCGCGGGTGCTTCCCGAGGCGCCCCCGCCCCGCAGGTTCGGCTCCTCGGGCCCCTCGGTCCGTCTGCCGCCTGTCCGGCCCGGCCGGCGAGGACCCTCCTCCAGGGCCACAGAGAAGCCCGAGGGGCGGGCGGGCGCGCGTCCGAGCCTCCGAGGACATCCCGGGCCCGCGGCTCGGCCGGGCCGGCTGCAGAGTATGGGGCAGAGCCAGGGGCGCGTCCGCCCGCCCGGGGGTCAGGCCCGGCTCGCCCCGCGGCCCCCGCCGGCGGAGGGGCGTTCCCGGCGGCTCCGGGGTCGGCGCGCACAGGGGGAAGCAGCGCCCCTGGCCACCTGGGCTGCGCCCCCCGCCCCGGCCGCGCGGAGCCGGACCTCGCGGGGGACGGGCTCGGGCGACGGGGCTGGTGTCACAGAACTCCGTGCCCCAAAGAGCGGGGGCGGAGGGCTGCGCCCCGGGCGCCCGGGACGCGGACGGCGGCGCCAGGGCGGGCGCAGGCAGCTCGCCAAGCAGGGCCGCTCGGGACCCGAACCGGGCACCGCGCCCGCAAGTCCTCAGGCCTCGGTGCGGGCTCGGCGGGGGCGCCGGGCGCAGGGACGCCCCTCCGCCGAGGACTCGGGCACCCCGGGCGCCCTTGCCGCGCCCCTCGCCCGACCCGCAGCCCGCGCGGGCGCCTTCGCCTTCGCAGCGTTCCTCGGGACCCACGCGTCTCCCGGCCCCGCAGGGCCCCGTGCGTCCCGGATGCCGCAGGATGGCGCCCCCGGAGCCCCCACGCCCGACCCCCACCCCCCGCCCAGCAGGTCCACGCAGCCGCCCGCCCCGGCCCCGCGCTCAGTCAAGCCCGAGAGGCCCTGGCCCGGCCCCAGGTTAGCTCAGGGGCGCGTCCTGTTCCCGGGAACCCCGAGGATTTCCGAGCCCCAGCGCCCCCCCGACCCGGGGAAGCCCCGCCTCAGCCCGCCGGTCTCTCTTCGGTCCGCAGGGAGCCCCGCCTGCTCCCCATACAGCGGGCGCCAGGGCAGGGGGTCAGGGACAGGCCCACAGCGCTGGCCTGGCAGGCCGCTGACCACCGCTGGGCATCCGCCGGGCGAGGCGGGTCACCCCTCCCGCTACTCCCCGCAAGAGCCTGACCAAGCCCCGCCCCACGCCGGCCCCGGCATCCGGGCAGCGGGGCCAGAGCCGACCGGCGCCTCAGCGCCTTTTTATGCAACCTGTGCTTCCCGGCTTGTGGGCTGGCCCAATCAGGTGTGAGCTACCAGCTGACTGGTCCTGAACGGTCCAATCAGCCTCAGGATTGAAAAACGGTCCAATCAGCTGTGTGGGTGGGGCAGCCTGAGAGCGGCTATAAGCAGGGCTGGCGGCGCCCACATACGGGCGGGGGCCGCGGGGCCGCGGGCCGCGGGGGGTCCCGGGGCAGGCCCCGCCCTTTCTCTGGGGGCCCCGAAGGCGCCCCGGGGCCCGGAGTCTCAGGGTGTCGCCTGCTGCAGGTGTCGCCCCACCACTCACGCAGCTGCGGGCTCCGGTGTCTCTCGCCGAGCGGCCCGCGGCGGCCCCCGTGGCTGGCCGGCGCCCGCGGTGAGCGGCGGGCGGGAAGCGGCGGCCGGGGGCCCTGGCCGGTCCTGGGCGTCCCGCCCCGTGCGCCCTCGCACTGCCCCTTGGCGGGCCCCGGCCTCGGCCTCCCGGCCTCTGGGCGGCGGGTCCGCGCCGGCCCGTCCCCCGCCTCCCTCTCCGCGCTGCCCTGGTCCACGCTCACCCGGCCCGAAGGCCTCGCCCGGGGGGGTCGTGGGGGCGGGCCTGGAGAGGCGGGAGCAGCTCCGCGGCCCGCGCTGGGGCGGGGCCGGGCCGAGCTGGAGGGCGGCGGGCGGACCCGAGCCGGGCGGGGGCGGGGCGCGCCGCGGGCACTGCCGGCCTCCGCTGCAGGCCGGAGACAGACGCCACCGAGGCAGAGACGCCCAGGCCGCCCCGGCCCCCACGCCGGCGGGGACAGGCACCCGGGGAGGGGCAGGGGCAGCCGGTCAGCAGCGGCGGCGTCGACGGCGGGGACGGCAGCTGCACGGGGCGGCCACTCGGGCCACGGAGGCCTGTCCCTCCCCCGCCCCCTCCCGCCCTCCCTTCCCCTCGGTTCCCTCCTCCCCCCCCCCACCCGTCCGTCTCTCGCCTCTGCCCCTTCACCCGCCCCGCCCTCTCCTTCCGCCGTGACTGCTTTTCCTAAGATTCATTCAACACACACCCGGGATCTGAGTCTCTGCAGACCAGTCTGGCGTTTGGAAGCGCCCCTGCGCAGCCTGCCGCGGTCCGCCGGGGCCGACGCCTCTTCCCGCGGCCGCGCTAGCCGCCCGCGGGCGCGGGGCCGGGCGCCGGGACACCCCGCGGGCCCCCAGCGGCTTCTGTCCACGGGCCCACGAGCTCGGGCCGGCCGTGCGCAGGGACGGGACGTGCGGAGCGCGCCACACGGCGGGACCCCGGAGGGCAGAGCGAGGACAGCAGGGCCGGCAGGGGCCGCAGCGAGCCGCGGGGGGCCGGGAGCAGCCCCACCTGCGGCCAGCCCGGGCAGCGCGCCGAGGGCCCGACCGCACTGGGCCGCGCCTGGCCCCGCCGACTGGCCGCACCTGAGCGAGAAGCTGCCCTGCGCTCTGAGGCCGCAGATGCGGCCCCTCCTCGTCATCACTTTCCTCACGGCCTCTTCGAAGTCTTTGTTCCTCAAACAGTAGATGACGGGGTTCGGCAGTGGGGTGACCACGGTGTAGAAGACGGAAATGATCTTGTTGATTTCAGGGGACAGGTGGGCATTGGGGCGCACGTACATGGAGATCGTGGTCCCGGAGTAGACGGTGACCACGGCCAGGTGGGAGCCGCCGTGGAGAAGGTCTTCGCGGGCCGGAGGCGGAGGGGATGCTTACGATGGCGGCCACGATGAAGACGTGGGACACGAGGGTGGGGAGGAGGCACACGCGCAGCCGGCGATGGACAGGGCGAAGATGACCATCTCGGTGAGGCAGACGCGGAGCAGGAGAGCCGCATGGAGGGCAGGTCGCAGAAGAAGTGGTTGATCCGGTTGGGGGCACAGGAGTCCAGCCTGGAGATCATCAGGCAGGGCAGGACCCCGTGCCCACCCCGGTCACCCAGGAGACGGCCACCAGCTTGGCGCAGGTCTGGGGGCATCAGGAGGGGTAGTGCAGGGGCTGCAGACGGCCAGGTAGCGGTCATAGGCCATCGTGGCCAGGAGGAAGCACTCGGTGGCCCGAAAAACACAAAGAAGTAGAGCTGGGCATGCAGGCGGGGAAGGAGATGGCACGGCCCCGGACAGCAGGCCGGCGAGCAGCGGCGGCACGACGGTGGAAGTGTGCCAGACCTCCAGGAAGGACAGGTGCTTGAGGAAAGTGTACATGGGCGTGTGCAGCCACCAGTCATGGCTCGCCACGGCGATGATGACGACGTTCCCCACCACCGTGAGCACATAGATGAACAAAAAGATGGCAAACAGCAGGGACTGCCACTCAAGAAGGTTCTGGAACCCCAGCAGCTGAAACTCAGTGACAGCAGACACATTTGGGGGCTCCATCGCCTGCGGAGGGTAAGAGACCTTGGAAAGCACTGCGGACAAGGCATGAAAATCCTCGGTGCTATCTGGAACATGAGAGACTTTCTTCGAGCACTCCCGTCTCCACGACAGCTTTCTGGAAGAAAGTGCGCGGCTCCTCCTGGCTTTTAGACCACTGTGGTTTCAACCCGTTAGGCGAAAGGGGCGCAAGAGTTGGGGGAGGGCCTCAGCAAGCTCCACTCACCAGGCTCTCTGAGATCTAGAAGTTTCAGGTTCAACACCACAGGTAAGAAGGGGCTCACTGAGCCAAACACAGGAAATACAATTAATAGCCGGGCCTCCCTGGTGGCGCGAGGGTTAAGTCTCAGCACTGTGAAGCTGTCGCCAGCCACTAAGGCATGAGTTCAATCCCCGGCCAGGGAGTGACCCACAGGACGAGGCAGACCTCTTCTGTCTCCCCGCTGCTCCCCTCAGCAGCGTGTTTCAGTAGATCTGCCTGTTCTGCTCCCCACTCTGTCTCTGGTCTCTGGTAAATCCTCTCACCCACCCCCCCAACCTTTGGCCTGTACCCCAGTTCTTGTATGCATAAATAAATAAACCTTTAAAAATTAATAGCTATGTTTTCCTGGTAGGCCCTTTCCTCCCACAGGTGACCCTCATCTGGAAACAGGTCACACCTGGCACGTCTCCCAGCCCTGGGAGACTGTGTTCTGCCCTCAGTGTTTATGGACACCTCCTCCGGGCACTTGAGCATCTGAATGTGTCTGTGTGTGTCTGTGTGGCCAGGGCTGAGCCAGCCTGCATCTCCACTGGTACCTTCTCACCCAGGTGGACCCAGCTTAGTGATCGACTTTGTGTCCAGTCAACAAGTCACCCTCCTTTTTTTCAAGGTCTAGCCTAGTTCTGGATGAAGCCAGCATCTGCCCGCCATCAGGGGCTTCCCTCATCAAGGACTGAGCGTGATGTCACCTCTGTAATGCCCAGGCCCAGGACTCCAGCCGCAGGCCCTTCCACCTCCCTCCCTCTCCCCTAGGACTATTCAGGCGCTTCTCCAAAACCTTCCAAGACTTTTTGTGTAGGAAAGTGATGAAGCTGAAGTACCCGGAGGCCCTCCTTCACCGCCCCCCTCTGTCT